GCTCCAATTAAAAGCACTCTGCTGAACCTACAAACAGCAAAGGAAAGCAGCAAAGGAACTCCCAGAGTGCATTTCGCTTCCACAGGGGGATAAAAAGTGTACGACATAAGCACACGGACATAAGCGCGACAAACTATGCAAAATCTCTATCCAAAGGAATGCATGTATGCCAGCATAAAGCGATGGTGTCACACATCACGTCATCGCTTAAAAATCAGACGAGTGGAAAGATAAANCAATGTAAGAGGGTGTAGGAAGATTGTAAAGAAGTGTCTAGCAACTACTAACAGTAATTGCATGGGAAGTCCCACTCCAGGAATTGACATGAAACAGATTGAGACCTATTCTGGAGAAAAGAAAACCTCACTTGCTATACATACTGGGTTATTTTTGAATTTTCCAGCTAAGCCTTAACAGAAATGTGCAAGAACTTGGTAATGAGATTGAAGGAAAGCCAATGTCCCAAGTGCTGATGGCATCTTTGGCCGATGTTGGCTGGATAACTGATGATGACGACGTCATATTTTCTGAGCCTATCCCTGATGAGGAGATAATTCAAAATGAACACGGGAGTCCAGAAAAAGAAATAGAGACAATAACGGTCTGTGAACTACCTGCAGTTGCTGTACAGGAAACCACATCAAGCAACGAAGCTATGCAAAAAATTTCTGCTTTGGAGGATGAGTTACAGAAATTGAGAGCTCAAATAGCAATGATGATTGTTACAGCTCCGCAAAATCAAGCAACTCCATCCACCCCAGTGGGGGCACCAGCTCCCCCTCCCCCTCCACCACCACCTCCTCCCCCACCGACACCCATGTCAACACCTTTGAAGCCAGTTTCGCAGATCATTAGAGAGGTAAGTCACAGGCTTATAGTGACACTATATTGTATTCTAATGCCAGTATATATATTAGTAAATGTGTGAACTTTTTTGCAGCCAAACAATCCATAAATCCAGCAAAGGTACTTTAAATGTAATGCTAGGGTTCAAAATAATACTTTTAAAAGAAACTATTTTGTTTGTGTTACCAATTTCAATTTATATTGACTGAGAGCTTCCTGGATGAAATATATGTTTAATGTACGTTTTCTCAAACAGAACAGAGCGAAAAGGTTGTCACTTGCACCAGGGACAGGAATTAGTGAACATTCCGCTGGGGCCAGTTTGCCAAACATGACAGATGTCCTGAAAGGACTGGGGAAAGTAAAACTAAGATCTGTTGAGAGGTAAGTACTATCAATTTTGAGTATGCACATGTCAGACTCATACCAAGTTGCGTCACTTACTTGTGCTATAGTTTACGGGAATTACGGTATTTAGTGGGCTAGTGTTGTATCAAAAGTCGGAAGTAAACATTAATAAGTGACGACTGGGTATGGGTTTGTGTCAGTTTAACATCACCGTGTAACCACTTCTCTCTAGATCACCAGGTGGCACACCCTTAAGGAAGCCCCCCATCACCACGGACGGCAGTGACCCGGCCTCAATCATTGCACAAGCCCTCAAGAAAAAGTTTGCACACAGAAGACGTCAAGAGGCTAATTCTCCAGGTACGCCATATTGTACATTATCAAGATTTTTTAACCTAGTACATAGCAGATGCAGGGTTAATATACAAACACACAAGCTCAAGGGATATGAGGAGCTCCCTTATGCATACCCCCCTCCAGTTACTTGCACACTTGATAATAGACCACTTTCGCATTTTCGGTATTGGACTGGAACTAGCTTGTAATGGAGGCTCATGCGGGGAAATATCATTACAAAGAGATTAAACTCATTTGCATTTGAAAAGACTCCCTGCATTAGCCTCAGCTGTAAGCTACCTCCAGGCCAATAGCGAGTCCCTTCACTTGAAAGCAATCTATCTATTATCTTAAACAAGGATGTCAAATTAATTACTAGATAATAATACTATATGCTGGGTGGAAAGGGTTTTTCACCAAGATAATTGGATCCTCTACTCTTGTAACCTGCTCACTTAACACTTCAATTTGTTATGAAAATTTTAAGAGAAGTTAGAAATTAAACAATAATGAGAAAGTTCAGGCTGATCAAATTCCAAATTGGTTCAACCAACAGTTGGTGGATTATTAGTTAACTCATGTGCTTGTCAAGGGAAGTGAAGAATGTCAAGGCAGACAGTAGGTGCATAGTCACAAATCACTAAATGAATGTTTTGTTGTCTTTTGTACTGAAGATGCCAATAAAGAAAACAACAGTCCAGGATCACCATTTGGCACACCAACCTCCAGCCCCAACAAATCTGTGCCTGTAAGTATAGTAAAATTTACTATTAAATAAACACTAATCACGACTAGAACAGCCTGTCCTACCCTAAAATTCAACAGTCACGTTTTGGTGAGCAATAGATCTTTCTTTCCTATGTTCACTGGCTCTGTCACTTTACTATTTGCTTCCCTGACTCGAGTTCAAAGTACCTAACAGAAAATGAAAATATGATCGTTATTTGAATTTAAAAATCAAAAACTTTAATTTGATCGCAATCCCTTCTCAATTTTTCTCCAGTTTGGACCCCACCTGCTAAAGGCAACAAACAAGAAAAGACGTTCAAGTACTGGACTGAATCGAACAACAAAGCCTAGTCCACTGGTTGAAGTCTGCTGACTGGCTGAGAAGATTTTAATAAGAATTTACTTCCATCTTATCGTGTAATTAGAAGTGTTCAATTTTTTCTACCAAATGTTGCATTTTCCATGACAAGCATATCATGTCACCTCTGACTTTTATTCAGGTTGTACCTCAGGGGGTTTGAGGACACCCCTTGACCTGGCCCAGATTGGTGACAAATAATTAAGAGATGAAAACTTTGAACTATGGACAGTTTTAATTCCATGACATTAGACTTATTACCAAAGGACACCGGGTTGTACATACAAATTATTTAGTGCATTAAATTTTCATTTTTTATTCTCAAGGGGTGAAGGTTAAGTTGACACTACTGATAAACCAGTAAATTATAAATTAAAACGGTTTACTACTTACAAGCCATGTAAATAATATTACTAACAGCTTGTTAATTCCTTCAACTTCTCCTTATTCTTTATAGTGGAAACAAAATCAGGTCAGACAGGTTGTCCGAGTCTCCTAGTCTGATGAAACAAGATATGGAAAAATGCTCTTAGCTATGTTTAATCTCTTTTCTTGTAAATATGAATTTCAAATAAATTGGTGAAGCCTTGTGATCGTTGTCTCAGAAACAACCTTTATAATACGATTATTAATTGAGTAAGCTGCATTGGAGCTTTGGTGACAAAGTTTCGGACTTAAGTTACAGTGTTGCCACCAGCAACTTTCCTCATTTCCAATAGTAACAACATTGTCGCCTGCAATTTCATGCACCTTGCTGCCAATGATGTCAAAGGCAGATACATTGCCATTGGAAATGGAGCCAGTTGTCCATGACAACAACACAAGTTGATGATACAACCTGGTTACCAAACTTTTGTTGCGCCTTACTCGACCGATAATAGCAGTATGGCAATTATTAGCCCTTAACCTGAGACTGAGAAAAAAGTTTTTTGCTAAGAGAGAAGAGAGGAAAGGATGAGCAAATACCCAAATAGTCCTTGCACTTCTATTTATGCCTTGTTTTTGTCCCCAGAGCGTGTAATTCTTTTGGTCAGCACCAAGGATAACTTCTGACCAGTTTAATAGCATGAACAGGGTGCTCATTTTTGAGGGTCGGCCAATCGCATTTCAGTGGAAATCTGTGAATCCTACAAGACTACAGAATTATAAGTGGCCTTTTATTCAAGTCGCTAACCAATTGTGGTGCCTGGATAAACCAACTCAACCAAGCTGGAACATGAATTTCTATGATTCACATGTTATACCAAGGAGAGTGAAAGAAAAGAAAGCTACACTTGAACTCAGAGTTTACACATTTTTACTTCCAACAAATCAGTACTAACCAACAATATTCATATTACATTACAAATTTAATACTCGTGTTGGAAAACAGTTTTCTCTGAGTAACAGTCCACACATATGTACAGGTACAAAACCTATTTTTGCCAAGTATATATTATTCCTCGGTTGGAAGACGATAATTACTATACTTGTGTTTCAGCTTATGCAGTCACGCCCTTGTATCATTTTTTTTTTCCATTCTGCAGCCTTTCCACAGCAATAAGATAACACTTCACCCACATAATATTATATACACACAAGTTTTTTGTCATTGAGAAACACATAGTATTAGATAACTTGTACCAGAAGCATATCACCTAGGTGATATGCTTCTGCTTGTACTTCTAACTTACTTTTTCTCCTTGTATGTGATGCTCTTAATTTCTGCTGTTACGCATAAGCAGAGGATATTATAAAATATATTAAATTGGAAGAAATAACCTGAAGAAATGTTTATTAACAATACCAGTTGTAATATTTATTCTTCAAGTTCAGTTCAGGAATCTTTCCAAAAGTGAAAAGTCTGCACCTAGTCCTAAACCCACAAGATTCTTTCTAAAATATTGGATAAGAACAGGGAGAAGACTAAGTGATGCATTCTAATATTCCTTGTTCACGATTGCCTCTAGGAAATGGGTGAAATAAATTTATTTAATGTTATGAATGCAGCAAAAGCACATTATACCATTAAATATCTGTTTAAATATATTATTACCTTGGACAAAAGACCCTATAAATAATATCAACTTTTCTTCTCACATTATTATGTATTTCTAGTTACAAAGTATAAGAATATTGAATGCTAGGTGACAGTTACTAAACACCCAAGTTTATTAAAGAGGATAATGCATGTATGTTGAATAAAAGGCTCTCAGCTTGGCATCAGCTTACTGAAATGGATGATTTAAAAAAACCTTACTGCTGTTTAACCAAGGATGTTCATCGTTCCTTAATTCCCCTACAGACAATGAAGTGGTCAATTATATCCACCTGACAGTTAAAATCCAGTCCCGCAGATAAATAACTGTTCAGATCAGACAGGTTGTAAAACTACAAGGGTGGGAAGAAAGTCTGGGCTGTGTTGGATGCCAACATCGCACTGAGTCAGGGGTATAAAAAATATCTTTCTTCAAAAGTTAAATGTTCTTAGAGGTTGTGTGAGTCACCAAAACAGTACCAGATGATCAGTGCTCAACCAACAGCATGTTTTCTACCTCTTTAGAACTAAGATGACATAGTATGTAGAAATCTTATCTAAGAATCTAAACAGGTTCAAAAGATGTTTCTGCTTCAAGTGAGGTTTCTGAAAGTCTGCTGGCAAGGTTGGCAGGACGACTGTGTGATATGAAAAAAATTCAAAAATACAATAAATACAACTGTTAGGCTTGGCTTTGTAGAAGAAAACAGGCCAATGTTTAATGACATATAAGTCAGTGTGCCTTACAATAAAATTGCTGTAAGTGTGATATAAGGATACCTTCTTTCATCCATGAAGCGCTGTAGGACTTGGTCAGGGTCACCCTGTAAGCTGCCCCACCCTCCTTGGCCTCCTCCTCTTTGGATCAGTTCAAGTCTTCTTAGTCTTTCTTCATTTCTGTTTGCCACTTCATCAACATTAAAACTGGTGACTGAATTCAAGGAAAAGCCACCAGGTGTTGGAGGTTTGTAGGTGTCATGAGGCTAAAAATAAAAAATAATAACAATACTTAACAATATTCAGTAACAAACTCTTCGCCCTGGGCTGTCACCTGACTGATCCTGAGAGCTATGCTGACAGGGACCCTGGAGTAGAGGTGCTGGTCTAAGAAAGAATAATAAATTATTCCCCCAGTCCTTCCAATCTGGAGGTTGAGTGATACACGGGCTACTCAAAAGAGAACCTGATTACTGCAGAAGTGTAGCAGCTCTCGTAAATTTGTAATTCTTTTCATTGTTAGCAGCTGTTATTGTTTCGGGCTAGGGGTATCATTCCTACTGTCTATTCTATTGTCCTCTGAAAGGGTATCAAGCCATTCATGTGAGACCATACAAGAGCTGCTACCTGACCCAGTTAGTGAAACCTCAGACAGGCAAGGAAAGTGACCAGCCACTCCTTGAAGCAACCATGGAACCTCATGTAAATTACAGTGGAACCCTGTTATCCTTTCATCAAGGGGGGACAAAAATCTGGCCGTACTAACGAGGTGGCCACATTAAAGAGGTTCTTTAAATAAGAAAATGACTGACTGAGCTTTCTTTCAGGCCAGAATAAAGTGGCCATAATAACAAGGTGATCGTAAGGCGGGTTTCTACTGTATATACTAATTCAGTGGAAAAAATAAATTGAAGTAAAAGCCAATGTTGGTGTCCACAAGCACGTAATTGAGAGGACTTGTGGTTGGGACACTGGTGTTTGCTACTAAAAAACAGACTCTTGAGCAACTAGTCTATTATTTCTTACCCTAGGATTTCTTGCCATTTCTTCAAGTTGTTTCCATCGCCGCCTCTCTCTAGCAGAGGATTGCCTTGGCCTGGATGACATTTGCTCGATTGGTAACATTTGCTTTGGGTCATCAACAACAAGAAATTGACTTTCTGATTCTAGAAGGGAGTCACGGCTTCCTGGACGTCTTGAAACCTAATGAAACAGGGTACTTTTTGGTTAAAAACAAAATTTAACATCAAGTACACATGGAACCCCTGTCAATCTGACCACTGACCACCCCTAAATAATGGTCAAGGTACTAACTTAAAGGAGACTCAATTTGAACACAAACCTACCAGGTAAGGCTGTCCAACTCTGGGAGACTGTTTATTATGTCTGTTGGGATCTGCCAGGAATTGAACAAAGGTAAAAATCCTACACTCTGACCTTGTCCAGTCAAGCTCTACTTGACAAAGTTAAAATTATTTCTAAACTAATGGGCTTTCCTCTAAAACTGTTAATTTCATTTCTAATTTACTAATATTTTCAACACCAACTTGGAATCAATGCCCCTTTAACAGGTGTCAACAGCTGCCCACACCTTACAAATTACTTACTTGTGACATAAACAAAGCTGCCAGACAGACCTCAAATGCAACTTAATTTGACTAAGAATAGCTGAATCAAAGCTTACTGGAAGCAACCAACGACTGTTGACAACACTACTTTTCACTAGACTCTGAAGATCACTAAGTCTTCTGCTCAGGTTGTAGAAACTTCAGCCACCATAAATACACACACCCAGACAATCACACTAAATGAACTAATAATTTCCTTGCTCACTAAAATTGGTAACAAAAGAATACTTGGGTAACTCAACAAACATGTAATTACCAGATCTTAATGCTGCCAGTTTGTCTTCTTGTTCCCTGCCGCAACAACAACATCTTTATTCACTTGTACATTTACAGTTTTACAAAAATATATATAAATAGAAGGACAGAAAAAATGTACAATTTGAGTCTAGAGTACGCACTTTTGATTGTGTTTCAGCCACAAAATTTTACTTGAGGGCCAAAGTGGCCCCTGAAGATCTTTTTAGGGGCCAATTTTTTAGGAAAGGGGCCACTAAATTGAAAGCTACAGAAGCAAAAAATGCATCAGGGTACCAAGGAAAATAAAGCAGTTTATTAGGATCTATGATAAAACTTAATAGTAAGTGCATTTTGAAGGATTTCTACTTAATAAAGTTTCTTTTGAGTCAGATACTAGTATGAAGGATCTGTACATTACAAGAGAACAATCTTTATGCCTACACGATGTAGTCAATGATCAAGGGTTTGCAATGCATTAAAGGGTGATTTCAAACATGGTCAGCCATTTGGAAGTTTCCCGATATGAGAGAATCAATACAGCAAAGCAAAAGGACGGATTGACTTCTTTTCTTTTGTTGAATGTTTTAGAAGCAAAGACCTTTCAATATGATTTTTCTAGAAGGACATAATGTGTGACAAAATAACTGTTATTGATCGTCAACACAGAGAAATGTAGTTGCCATTATGCCGTATTATGGCAATTAAACCAGAATTTTTGGTAGCCAAGGATGAAATGCTTGTTGCATTGGTGACTGTATCAATCACAATTTCAAGTCCTGGGATGGTTTTTAAAATATTATGCCTGTGTTAAGCCTGCAGTCTTGTAAAAGCAAAGGGCCAAATTGGCCCTTTTTTCATTTTTCTGAGGGCCATCTCTGATTGTAACGCAGGATTTCCGCAATGGCGTGCTCCGGCACAAACACTGATCTGATACGTACAGATTTTGTCTAGATGAATATCTGGTATTGTATCCGTTTACTTAACTGGTGTAGAAGAGAAGATAGACAGACCATCTTTCTTCAGTATACAATATTATAATACAGTACTACAGTTTGTACTTCCTTTCTAAAAGTCAAACAGCGTTATATAAAAGTACTTTGTCAGTACACAATTCAAATTGCAAGTCTGCATAATGGGCCAGTTATCCAACTGAGACAATTTTAGTTTGTATAGCATGATCGTCTGGGTGAGGGAAGCTCTGAAAAAAACTGTTGTTGGTGACTGACATTTCGGCAACCTGAGCAGAAGTCGTCTTCAGACTCTGAAGATGACTTCTGCTCAGGTTGTCAAAACGTCACTCACCAACAACAGTTCTTTTCAGAACTACCCTCACCTGGATGATCACATTATACAAACTACTGATACTCCTGGGTTCAAACCATTTACTATGAGACAATTTAATCCATCTCAGACAAAAAATTCTTCCCTGGTATAAATTCAGACTCAGATAATTCATCTGCAGCATAAATTCTGCCATTCTTTATAGAATGACATTACACAATCCTCACATGAGAAAGGCCTGCTGTTGAAGATCCAACACACTGCTGGTAGAAACTGGATCAGGAAACTTGCTTCTGAACTCCTCCGCAAGAGAAGAGGTTTCTTAGAAACAAAAGAAACAGTTTATAACTCTGTGATATGCAATGCCTAACTCACCCACTCATTTATTAATTATCTGTGGCACGAGTACCAAATAAATGACCATTTTCAAGAAACAGTGTGCAAAAATGTGTTATTTCACAGCAAATTGTCTTCCACTATACATTGCTGTAAACATTCTTTAAGTGACATACCGATAATCATTTGATTTTAAAATAAGTTATTACTTGTTCTTAAGTTTTTTAGAACACAATCAATAAACAGGTATTCCTGGATCAATATAGACTTTCATTCAAGAAGCAGTACCACGGAAAAAAAGTCTAAACAGTTTATTTGTCTGGTTGGATACCTGTCAGTTTTATTTTTATAAGATGAACAAGAGCACTTTGTAGCAGGCAAGAACAATAAATCATTTTGCTAGTAAGTGGTTGACTTAACGAAGGACACATCTCTGCAGGTAATGCAGACTTGAACTGAAACTCAGATTAAATACCTTCATATTTCATCCTGTTAAATTCATCAGCAGCAGAAAAGCCCTTAAAAAGTTGAAAATATCAAAATTAATAATCAACATGACAAATTTCTGTATGAAAAAAACTAAACTAATTAAAACTGAAACTTGGGCCATTTAATGTATTATGTGTTGTTACACGAAATATCCATACCCCTCCTATGCAGGTTTTTTTGTTCAAACCTCCTCCCCCCCCCAAAAAAAAAATCCCTCCTGGATTCCAGTTTTGGTTCATACTTTCCTTTAAAAGTTTGGCTTTTGAGACTTCCCCCTCTCCCCCTTAGAATTTTCAATAACCCTCCTAATAGTTGGTATCCACACATAGCAGAAATATACCTCGGTATCTTTCTTCACCACTGCAGTTTTGTTGGCAAGTGCTCTTTCAAACACCTGGACATCTCTTCTTCCTCTGAAAAGATTAAAATAACGCCATGGTTATACCATGAGATAATGCCCCCTGACTGGGTACATGAAGACTACTTTATCAAGACAGGTAGCCTTTAACAAATTAATACATTTACTTCTTCTCATATAAATTACAGTTAGTTATTTATTCTTTAACATTTTACTGTAAACAATTTCTGTACCTTCTACTTCCAAGGTCTTCAGGAGCACGCTGCATCTCAGAATAATTTGTCTGTGACAGCAACAAAAAGAAATGAACAAAAAATATATATTTAAGAAAGATTATAAAGTTGTAGAAGCATGGAGGAAGGCTACATGGACTTTTCATGGTATCTAGTAAAAGAGATCCGCTTCTAGTTTCTCTTCATAATATTATTAATCTTTAATCAAGTATATAGGCTACAAAATAAATATTAACTTGGAAATGACCACAACATAACAATGAAATTGAATTCTTCTTATTAACACTACATGGACATGAAATGTACAGGGTCCATACGTTCATACTGAGGTTTTGGAAAGATTGAACATACCACTGCAGTTGAACGATCCATTTGTTGCTGAACTCTTTTTTCTTCATTCTTTAGTTGCTGTCTAAGTGCTGTCAATTGACTCAGTACATCCCTGTCTGCTGTTCCTCTCCTCGCAGCTTCTTTGAAATATCAATCAGATACAAATTAGTGTTTGACACTTACTGGTCCATTTTCATCTTGCAGGCATTTAACACCAACTGAAGGTATATGTTCATCAAACCTGACAAAAAGTACTTCTAAGACAGATATTGACTCAAATATTACTGTTTCTCAATCTTTTAAATCGTTTCATCTTGACTGGGGAAAGGTACAATGGAACCCCGTTAATACGACCACCTCTGGGCCATGGAAAATTGGTCACATTAACGGGGTGGTCGTATTAAAGGGGTTCTTTAAATAAGAAAATGATTGACTGAGCTTTTTTGGGGGCCAGAATAAAGTGGCCGTAATAACGAGGTGGTCATTTTAACGGGGTGGTCGTAAGGCGGGGTTCCACTGTACTTCGATTTGGGTTAAGGGATGACTATAGAGGAGCAATCAGAGCAAATGCTAAACAACAGAGGTCATAAAAATTGTACAACAATAGGGAAAGGAAAATTATTGTGCCTTAGCCTGTATAGCTGGTGGTTTTCTGTGGACTTTTGTAGCACAGAACAAGCAACAACAGCAAACTTGTGAAAACAGAAAGATGCTTCATTCTCTTTTCACCATTCTTCCTGTGGCTTCGCCACATGTTCCGCGACATGTAACCCAACTAAAAAAATCAACCGAAACCACCAGCTACACAGGCTAATAATTCGTGCCTGAATGACATGAGACAATGGAATGACAGGCCATTAAGGCTCAGCTTTATTTTTTGACTATAACTTCACTTTGTAAACAGTAAGTAAAGCAGTTCTTGTCCTTACCTAGCTCATGTAAGGGGTGAACAGGTGGAGGTGGACCAGGAGATGCTGCAACAGGACCTAAATATACAAACAACAGTAATTCCTTAATGTTCTAATGCAAACCCTGCTAGGCCTTTAAGAGATTTCTGAAGAGTTTTGTTGTCTTGAAGAAAACTAATCTTAATTATTTCTACACAAAAATTCCCTTCTCAAACTACACAGGTCCAATTGGGGCTGAAACAACACTGCATTCCGATCAATAATATTCTGTTACATGCAATTCAGAGGGGTAGGCATCTCTTAATAGCACAAGATTACAACTTCNTGTTCCAAAGGGTTGCACTGCTGTAACTAAAACTATTTTTCATGTAGTTAGTTCTCGGAAAGGGAACTACAAGTTTTGTTAACCGAGTCCCTCAGTCTGTCAGAGCATAATTTGATTCATTTTGCGTTACATGATTGCTACTGATGGTGTGCAACTGTCCAGTTTAATCTACCTATAAATTAACTTGTTGTAACAAATGGAAATAGTGCACTAAAAAAATTCCAATACAATTTCTAACTTCAAATTTTGTTAACTGGGGCAATGTATTTAGCAACTGGACCAGAATCTGAGAGAAATCACACTGGTGATTTCAACCAGAAATAACTTGCCTGAATACTCCCTAAATTGTACTCCAGTCTGTCCACTTCTGCCGTTCCAGAAAATATCCATACCCTCCTGGATGAGGGGTGGTTGGGTGAGAAGGGGGGTATCAAAACAAAAAGCCTCCCATGGGAGGGGTAGCGATATTTTCTGGAGCAATATACATATATCACACTATTCTCTGAAGCTCACTTGACTTGTAGCGGCTTTCTTAGCAGCCATTTCAGCATCAAGTTTTCTCTTCAGCTCAGTTTGCCTTTGTTCTTCCATTTCCTTCTTTTTCTTCTCTGCTTCCCTTTTCTTTGCTTCTTGAGCTTCCTTAATCTGTTCATTCTTAAGCCTTGCCTATGAAAAATATACCACAGAAAATCAGGATGTGCTAAAGGGTTATAAATTACAAGGTACACATCTATTACAATTTTAAATACAGTGGAACCCTGCCTAATGGTCACCCCATTAATACGGCCACCATGTCATTACAGCCACTTTATTCTGACCTGAAGAAAAGCTCAGTCAGTCATTTAAGCATTTAAAGACCCCTTTTATATGGCCACCCTGTTAATACAGCCAGATTTTTGTGGCCTATTGGTGGCCAGATTAACAAGGTTCCACTGTATCAATTACCTGAAGGTTTTAGATGGGAACTAGACCCAACATAAGCCCAAGCGCTATAATTTATGTCTCTATTTGACACTGATATCATAGCCATACAGTGGTCCACGTTCCCTTTGTTGCATTCAAGCATGAACACATCATGAAAAAAAAAAAATCTTAAGGGGAAGTAGGGTGAGTAATGATGCATTTAATTAATAGAACATTGTACCTCTTCTTCTTTTCTTCTACTTTTTTCTTGCTCTTCTTCAAAATCTTTCTGCATTTTCATTCTCTCTTCAGTTATTCTCTTTTCCTGGAGAGAGATGAAGTTGATCCAGTTTAAAAAATGTGAATTAGTCATGCCAAACACTCAGAAAGAAGGATGTAACACGAAAAAGTTACTGCAGTAATTAAAGAGCAGATGCTTGTCGGGAAAATCATGTCCTTCTTCCAACAACTGGATCAGGTGGCGTCCCTGGTTGGTTGAACGGGAATATCAGCTAACCCAAGACAGTACACATTCGTGATTGAGTAAACTGGAAGCAACCGGTTTCAATCTTGGATACCTTCTAAAACATTGCAGGAATGGAATAAGTTCATGTTAAGAGACACTAATTTGTTTAGCGCTGGAATAGTAAAGAGGTTCTGTAACTTCCATGATTAATATTTACCAATTCCTCGTCTTCCCTTTTGGTTCTCTCAAGTTCTTCTTTTTTCTTTTTCTCTTTCTCTTCAACCTGTATATTCAAAACAATAGATTACAATTATAGCTCTTAGTGTAGTTCACCTTGAGTCTAAAACAAACAATAAACCAAAAGATGCAAACAAGTCTACTTAAGGTATAAGAAAGATACAAACTGAAGAAAAGCTACTCTGTGTAGTAGGTAAAAGTTACATGTAATAATACCTGTTTTCGAAGGTACTCCTGGTACTCTTGCCGAGCGGCTTTTTTAAGGTCATCCTTGGGATGAAAGATAGGGCTAAGACTCAAAATACTGAAGTACACCCTCAGGATTCAGAAAATTCAACCCTTTCTACCTGAATTTCACTTTCCTATTAATAGCAGTTTGGTCCAACAGGTTGTCCAATTTTCCTCCCTCCATAAGACCAATAAAGTTATAAACCAAATTCCAGTTTGATCTGGATGTCTGAACACTTTAAAATGAGCCTTTGCAAGGTCTTGCATGTTGTGTGGGTAAATAAATCAATCCATTTACTATTAGTAGTTTTTTAGGCAGATTTTGAGAGGTTTCCTAGCAGTTTGCTGGTGATGTGCTTGACCAGCAGAAAAGGGCCTTTAAATACTAGTGGCATGGCATTGAGTTTAAATTATTCAGTTCAGTATCAGTCAAACTTTGTTAATCACCAGAATGAGAAGGCCCCATGGATCAGAGAGGTTGTGGCATTAAGTACTGAGTCATAAGAAGAGGTTATTTTATAGTTTGGAAATTTCATTCTCACCTGTGGCTGGGCTTCTTTGAGGGGATCTGACCTGCCAAATGTTGTTCTGTTTCCACTTCCTGATAAATCTACTGTAACAATAAAAAGACATCATCCTTAGAACTGAATTATTAACATATTTAGATAATGTAACATCGCATATAACCAATGAAAGACAAAGTAAAATGCCTAAACGTTGATAACAAGTTCAACACCCCATGTGGTATCTTAACAAATGGTACAACAAGAATGCATGTCATTAGCATGTAAGGAACACCCCTCCCCCTCCCCCAATCCAGTATAGAATGCTAGTACTTTGGGCAAAGGAACTTGAGAGCCAAAGGTCTAAAGACCCCCACAAGAAGGCATCGCAGAGAAAAGTCAACTAAAAGTGGCATGAACTTCCTCTCAGAGTTTGTAGTGACAACAGGTTTTTTTTTATCACTAACTCAATTTTTCTACACTTCTCCCTTGTTGAGCCTTGAGAGCTGTTGTCGGTCTTGTTAAAACTTTATGTATTGAGGAANTTTTGTGAACACTATCCACTGGGTTGCAATTATTTCATTAGGTGGACAGTATTATTCATATTATCAATGCTGTTTTTCTGATCAAAAAGCACTGTTGTTGACAAAAGAAGGATAAAATTATATGTAGAGGCATTTCTTAAAATTGGTAAAGCAATCACAGAAAAAAAGTAAGATCTTTGAAAGGTTTGGCAATACCTCCAGATATTCCAGCATCAAGCCTTAGACCTCCCATGCTTGGTTGTCCAGTCCCTCTGGAGATGTTCATAGGCCCACCCACAGAAGCTCCCATCTCCAGTGCCCCATAGTAGTAATAGGGGTCATCATATGGATTTGTATGGATGGCAGGGTGAGGAGGAGGTCTGGAACTAGGTCCATGATTGGCCAGGGACATGTCATAGCCTTGTGATTGGGGCGGATGTGATCTTCTGTTAACATCTGGAGGTGTTCTCTCAAGCTGAAAGAAAACTGACTGTGTGAATAATGTGTTTGACACATTTTATTCTCTCCAACATGAGGAGACACTGACAAGGACAGCCAATGGAAAACATAGAGGTTCCAAAGGCTGCAACTCACCTGAGAGTTCAGTGGCCTGCCACCATTTTGCTCAACTCCTAAATGAAGCATTTTCTCTCTGGATAAAAAAATAAGATTACCAGAAGCAAGTGGTGAGCAAATGTTACTCCAAGTTGCCTTCTCAGGGCTTGAAGAAAAACTTGATTCCAGCTTGCCCATGGGACAAGTAGCTCTCAAATGTTACTTGCTCTGAGCAAGTCTTAGTTTGCTTCTTTTAATGATTTAGTTGGCAGACGACTTGCCTGATCCCTTACCCTTTGGGCAAGTGAGAAAGAAAAGTTACTTGTCCAGAAGAAAAATCTACTTGTCCCAGACAGATGGATGGCACATTTTTCAAGCCCTGCCATTATTTGTGCAGTGGAGGTCAAAAGGAATTCCTGGGTGCTGTATTAGTAAGACTGCTAAGAACTGGAAAGGTGCACCAGAAGAAACCGATGGGGGGAGGGAACGTGTTGAACCAACACATCAAGCTTTTTGCCACAAAGTATTTGCTGTCTCCTGAGAGAGGAGACCAGTCAATATCTTACCATTAACATCATACATGTATGTAGCACTTGATAATTTGCTAGGTACCTTTTCTTGATATCAGCCTGTTCTTGCATTTGTTGTTGAAGTTCTTTCTTATACTGTTCCTGTTTCCTGGCCTTTTCACTCCTGGACTCCTGTGAACCTGAAAAAAAGAAATCTTGATCTTTAAAGAACACTATATATTAATGACCCCTGTAATGACCCTGGCCAATATAAACCAGGTAATCTGCAGTCCAATGAGCTAACCATTACGCAACCACATCTCCCTATGGCATGTATCATACAGCAACAGTGAGGCAATTTTGAAGGTTTGATGAATATGACGGGATAAATTCCCCAGAGAGCAAGAGCTAGTTAGCAGGTAGTAATGGTCCAGCTTGTAGCTAAAGTGCTTACTTGAGCTTGAGGACACATTAGCAATGTTTAACTACTCACCTCCTATTATTCCAGCTCCTTCCAGAGGTGCTGACTGTGATCTGATGCTAGTGTCTGTTTTGCTTCGCTGAAGAGTTTCTTCCTGAGGTTCCCTGAAGAAAAAACAATCAAATATTAAGAAATTAAAAAAAAAATAATCACAAAATAAAGATGACAGTAGCTTCTGCTGAAACATGTCTTTCAGACCTTAAGGTTTTGTCATTTTTCTTTAAATTCTTAAAACAAACAGAATAAAGAACACTAAAAAAAATCTAAACAAGGTACTTAAAAAAATTAATGACGACAACAAAAACAACCACAACAACATTTAATACTCTGGCAATCAAACAGCTCAGAGTGAAAACAAAATGGAATCAACATTTCACCTGTTTGGTAGATGAGCACTGTTTCTTCGCTGTGGTCTTTTCCCTCTCTTACGAACCTAACAATCATTAAAACAAACCTGTTATGATTGATAAATGACTGGTGCACTATCCTAGCCCATACTACTGACATGCTGTAATTTTAAAGTACGTGTCTCACAGTAGAGTGAGGTGGCTAGGAGCATTGGTATTACCCCTTGATAGGCAACTGGAGGCTGCCTTAATGATAAACTAGTACCCATCTATAATCCAGGGTGCATGGTGAAGAGAGGTACGGTGAGAGCAGAGTGTCTTTCAGTCCAAAAAGACAACATTATTGATATGGCCAAAGCTGAATCCCTACATGATCAAGAGTCAAACACAAAAACCATTGGGCCACGACATCTCTAGTCTTCTTTGCAGCCGTTATTAAGGTTGTCATGCAATGCTTCGCCCCCCTGGTGGGATGACCGTGACAACCCCTAATAATGGCTGCAGAAGAGACTATGGCATCTCTCATGACGCACTTAAATACTTACCCACTCTGATAGATCGTCATCTTCCTCCTCATCGTCATCATAATAATCAAGTCTTCTTCTAGGTTTCACCCATGCACTGTGAAATAAGATGAATAAGTAAAGACAGCAACAAAACAGATACATACACTACAACTTATAATTTCTATTAACCTCATCAGTATAAATATCCAAGCTTGAGACTGGGTGACAACTATTCCAATAGCATTATAATGAACTTGGCATCTGAATGAAATATGGTTTCAGATACCAACAATGAAGCAATAAAATTTCTTACTCATCATCCAAGTCATCATCACCATGGAAACGAACACGCCTAAAGAAAACAAGCAGTTACTTTGTTAACACCCCTACACAGATCTATTGACCAAGACATTTTCATTATTACAATCAGTCAGTACACTATTGAGGAAATTTACTTAACGCACATAATTATAATTTTATTTGCTTACAAAGGAGGTTTATTTAAATAAGGATTGCCCAAAAGCATACTTATGAAACTTGCCAGAGTCTGTTCATTTTAAATGGGTTTAAAACAAATGAACTTAAATTTGCCTAGATTCATTATTGATTTATCAGTCAACATTATCTTACTTTGATTCAAAGCTCTTTTCTCTCCTGCCTCTTGGTCGATTTCTTCTAAAACTCTGCTTAACAGGAAACAAAGAGGCAGATTAGAATAAGAATGCCCATCGTTCTGGCAGTTCATCCAAATCGTTACTAACAATTATTTTATCAAATAAGAAAGACTATCAGCCACAGACTCAAAATGATGATCAAGATAATTCTTGTAAGAAACTTAAAGTTCTCAGTCAACTTAACTCGAATCAGCTGAACATTTGCAGTGCGTTCACCGTGAACGGATCATGGAGACATATTAAGACAGTTACAGTGTATCCTCTGAAGAGTACTTCCATATTGGGAAATATTGGCCTTTTCTTTTTTTGCAACTTAATGTAATTTGCCTGCAGTTTGGTCCATAACCTTGCAAAAAAATGTCACCAATATTTTCTCCAGACACCCCAATACTGACCTCATGGTAGTTTAAATTACACACTGGTACATACAGTATCTTATCTTACATCATAATCCTCATCATCATATCTCCGGCTGAGGTAGCCATCACTTCTAGACTGCTGTTTATACTGTGGCGCATTCAATCTCATAGGTCTGGTGGTTAAATAGTAAAGATTTCTGGTCAACTTCAAAGTTAATTAATAAAATTTAACTAATGATGAGGTTGAAAGCAAATAGAACATTACTTAACCTGTCTGCCCTAGAGTCTGGGTCATCAAATCCTCTATAAGCAACAAAGAAAAAATATATATATAGAACTGCATTATGACATGGTGACACAATTTTGATGCATTACACAGGCATCAAGTTAAGGGAAGTCTTGGTCTAACAACTCAAGAAGCTTTCTGCTTGCACATGAAAACCAGACCTTAACTATTTTTCTTTTACATAGAACTCAGCCTTGGGAATGCAGTCACAAGAGTCAAACATTCATTTGTTGCTTTGCATGATTCAAAGCCACTCACAGAGGGCATAAGTCTGCTTGTTCTTTGATTAGCAAAGGACAAAATAATGTACTAGTTATGTACAGTAAGGGTGGCGAATGGTCCTTCAAAAGCCATGAGTCTTGCAAAATTTTTGTGGAATTTCAGGGATCTGGCAGTCTCCTTTTTTCATAGGTTAATATGTGCATCTTGCATCTTGCATTTTTTCACAAAGCTGTCTCGGAGTCTCAATTTTTTTGCAAGACTAAGAAATTCTTGAAGTCCAAATTCATTTGATTGTTTTTATAAATGACGTCTGAATGTCATATAATCTGAGCATCTTGCACTCAACACTTTGAAGTCTAGTCTCGCTTTCATGCAAAGTCTCGCATTTACCATTCACTGCCCCTGTAATAATAATGAGATCATACCGGTATCTTTTCTCTTGGGCACGTTTCCTTTGTAAAAGTTCCTCATAAGACTCAAATAAGTTTTCAGGTTTTTGGGTACCACCTAGAATAAAGCAATACAGGCTGAAAGTTAATTTATTATAACTAATTTAGACCATTCAGACTTAATTAAAAGTACTGATTCTCCATACTTCTATATCTGTCATAAATATAAATTCAGAGAATTCAGTACTAAGTAAGTTTAAATAAACAAGAGCTGACAGTTATTTTCTTGTTAATGCACATCTTTTGTCAGAATTCTCTTTGGTGAGAGAGTTTAGCTTGTATATTTATATAACACATCTTCAAGTAATTAATCTAAGATGAACTGAGAGCTAATCTTAATTTTTCTCTTTTTCCACCTACAACATATCTTGTAGTCTATCCCAAGTAAAATAATAATAATTATTTGAATTGTTTACTTTCAAATTGTTCTGCAATGTTGAGGGCAGGAAACTATATTGCTGACACACATTTGCCTTCAAACCCTAATGTTTTAATATAAAAGGAATGAATTCAAAACAAATTCAGCAAAATTATGAATAGCTCAAGAATCTCGTCAAGTGTTAATTATTATTAATTACAAGCTTTTGGTGTAACAAGTGTAGTTACTGCTAATAACTTACGTCTATCTTGGCTGTCATAATCTCTAGCTGAGTCCTGAATAATGCAAAAAAGTGCAAAAAAGCTTTCAAGTATACATTATATTCATGAGTAAAAAGTTCATACATTGTAACTTAAACTTGAAAGTTTTTTTACTTAGCTCAAAATAATCAGGAGGATCATGCTTGAACAGTAAAGGATTTCCAATTAAATGAAATGCACAGTGCAAAAAACACACTCACATCATAGTTTTCCTTTCCTCTTCTTTCGCTTCGAAAGGAATAATCGCCATCATCGTTCTCATCCCTTCTAGCTTGGGCCTAGAGATAGAGATACAAAATAAATTATGTCCAAGCATTTCAGATCCATTAGCCTGTGACAACAATGAACACCTCACTGGAGACTCTTTCTAGAGCCCCTTCAAGGGAGCTATTCCAAAGACAGTGTATCTTGAAAAAACTAGCCAATATTTTTTCAATTAAAATATCTTGCTGCAGAAAGCAATATATTCAAATGTCGCATAAAGAGGGCAATGGAGATCCGGTTAGCAAAGCCCTCTTTGAATAGAGACAATGGCTTTCAATTAGCTAACATCTATGATTGACACTATTTTAGCTCCTTTGAGACCCTAATTAACATGATATAACCCTTCTTAACATTCTCATTTTTATTGTAGCTGATAAAGTTTGCTTGAGCTGTACAAAATATTCCACTTTTTAAAAATTTTCCTTGTTCTCTGAGTACAGGAAGTTATTTTGTATTTTAATCATGATTCCAGAGCAGGAAAACAATATTTTTGATTGAATATTTTTTTCAAGTTGGTCATTCTTATTCAGTCATAATCTTTCTCACCTTGTTTATTTTTGGTTGAATTTTTTTTTTCTTTGATGTATTTCAACTATTTAAAGGGTATCAATTTAAATTTTCCTCCAACTTGTAATTAACTCTGGACATCAGAGAAATGATTTAAAATATTATCATGATATAGCTCTGCACGTTAAAAATCAACCACACTGATATAATATTTCTGAATCTTAAACTTATAATTTGCATTAATTTTTTTGAAAACAGCAAGACCTTGATGTCAATAAGTTATTGTGCCAGCCAGTTAAAACATTGAGCAATAAGTAGACCCTTTAAATCATGTAAAGAGCTTGAAATTAATACATAATTATGACTTTTTTGAGAAGTTTTTTTCATCTTCATCAGGTACAGACACCAACTTTTATACTCCAACCAGAGCTCTTGATTCTTATAACAAAAACATGTAAACAATAATCACTGTTTTGCCCCGCAGTAAAGTTCAAGTTTAAAATTTTTACCACAACGTGATGGCTAGGAAACCTCAGCTTTCCTCCGAGAAGTCCAAACCTTTCCACAGTGCGACTTGCTTCACATAGGAACTCCAGTTGGACCCAGTCCATATAATGTGATCAGTGCAGGAAATTTTATTTTCCTTTTCATTTTAGCACTTCAGCTGTATACTAATCTTTCATTTTGAAAAGAATCAGGTGACTTTTGATGTTGTGGCATGGACTGAAGAGGAATTATCGAATTTCACGCAAGATTCTCTGACTTTTTTCCACATATGAATTTAAACTGTGCACATTAAAAACAATAGTTATTTATACCTGTTAATTTGTAATGCTAATATTTTTTTCTGAGTATTGACAGTGCAAATTTATATGCCACCTGGCAAAGTTAATTGACGCTATGCAAATGTCTGTGATGACCAAAGAACTCAGTCATTAATTATTTATGGCTGATGCTGAATGTAATC